ACCTGTTCACCGCGGCCCGCCTCTGCTCCAGGACGTCCTTCTGCCCGTTCCAGTGCTGGGCGTCCGGCCGCCCCAGCTCGGTCACCGCGCGGTACTCCCCTACGTCGCTGTCGAAGCGCACGAGCTCCTCCCGGTTATAGAAGTTTCTGTGTAGGTATCGCACCCGCTCCGTGCCGTTGGAGAAATGGCACTCAAACTTATCATACTCCAAGAAACGTGCTGCGGAGACACGAACGATCCGGTCACACGCGCGGCCTCCTGAGAAGAGCCTGACGGCGACGCCCGACAATCGCGGGCGCCCGGGGGCAGGGGACGGGGCATCGGACACCCCGATCGGCTCCACCGCGACCCCAGCTACTAGCTGCGCGCGTTACTCCTCTGTCGCCCGACGCGGAGGGAGGCGGCGCCGGGAAAGCCCTGGGACCCCCGGCGAGCGGGCCGGGAGCTGCCCCTGCACGGCCGCCCGCGCCGCCTGCCCCGGAGCCTCCCCCGGGAGACGCGCGCCGCTCCCCCGTCCCACAGCTCTAGACCCGTCCTCCAGCGCGTCCCGCCTCGTTCGTCCTGTAAACACTCGTCACTGCTGACCTGTGCCAGGCTGTGCTGCCCCTGGGGGTGCAAAGAAGCGAAAAAGGACGTCTCCGCTCCGCTCACGGAGTGAAAGTGCAGCGAAAGCGGTGGGTAAAGAAGCGCAAGGATGTACACAGGACTGCGAAATGGCCAAAGGGACGCGGGGAGCTCTGTAACAGAGAATGACAGCACGATCCACATCACGTGCGGGTGCCAGAGGAGGACTGAGGAACCGCGTCTAAGACGGGACAGGAAAGGTCAAGTTGGTGGAGCTGGAGAGGAGCGTGCAGCGCGTGTGTATGTTCCAGGGAAAGGGAGGAACAGTTCAGGTACAGACAGTACGATGTGCGACAGTTTGAAGGGATCGATGAATTTCTTCAAGGAACCAGAAGAGGGTCCACTGAAGCGCAGAGGGTGGGAGGAAGCAGGGTGAAATATTAGACTGGAGAAGTCACAAGAAGCTGGTGATTAAAAGCCTGGGGGTGGTATTAGGATTTTGGATTTATACTAAAGGCAATGGGAAACTATCAAAGGATTTTAAAGAGATTCACACCATGATCCCAGTACAGGTCCCCAAACCCTGTTCTGCATTTCTGAATCAAAATCTGAAAACCAGATTTTTAAAAATTTGGTGCCAAAACTCATTTGGCAAATCTGACCTGAGAAGGTGAGGGGTGAAATGAGAGCTCTCATGTGACATGTGCTCCTGTGGTTTCAATACATATAAACATACATACATACATGCATAAATAGACACACATTTGTAATATACTTTCATATGTGTATATATTTTTTACTTTTGTCTTTATGTATAATTGAACTGTGAAAATGTCAAAAAGTGTTAAAGAATAATCCTGCGATTAAAAGTGAGATCAATAAATGGCAGCATCTGAGATCAGCAGTACAGAATGTAGAATTACTGCAGAAGTTTGAGGCATTTTACTAAAGAATATTTGTGGCAGTTACCACTATTCATGATTCATAAATGCAAGTTGTTGAAAGTTAATAGAAATAGTGATGACCAAGAGCTCATGAAAGTTTTGAAAAACATTACATAAGGCACAAAATAAAAATGAAGATGAACTTGCATTGATTGAATGGATTCAGCAAGAAAGTGGTGAATTTAAGCAAAAATAAACCATGAAGAACTGAATTGAGAGGCCTGTGTATATACAAAGTATGAGTTTAGGGTATTTAAAGCAGCACAGCATTAGGTGTTTTCAACCTGGGCACTGTTGACATTTGAACCTGATAACTCTTTAGGAGGGGAGGTGGTGGTTCTGCACATTGTAGGTTTATCTGCCAGCATCTCTGGCCTCTACTCATTAGATGTCACAAGAAACTCACAGTTTAACCATCAAAGATGGCTCAGGGTATTGCCAAATGTTCCCCAGGGGCTGGGGGCAGGAAGGGAGGGTGGGGAATCATCTCTCCATGAGAACCGCTAGTGTAAATGATCTGAAAAATGTGTGGTGAAAATGCTTCTATTAATTATGGAGCAGTTGAGAATTACATTGAAAATCTGCCAATATTATATCATTTGAAAATCTTCGTTGTACATGAAACTTATGTGTTTTAGGAATCCAGTCCCAGTGGAGGGCTATTTTTCCAACAAAATTTGTTCAGGATCAAAGTTTACTGATTTCTTTGCCTTGGCAACCAGTCACCAAGTCATATAATTTATCCTTTATGATGTCTCCTTAATTTCTCTGCCACTGATCCACTTATAAGCTACAGCCACAGCCATTTTATTTATGTTCAATGCTCCCAACTAATTTATTTTCTAATTTTCAGCCCCCTACTCCCAATAATACCAGTAGGCATAAAATGACCAGCCTTGGCCAGATAGATGTAGAATTCCCATTTCTGTAGTCAACTCCCCTCAGAAGGGGAGAAACTACAAAAATAGCATTCTCATATAGAGTTTACAAAAAATGAGCAGGTCCCTGGACTTTGAGCAGAAACCTTCACAAAGCTCCCACTGCTGGTTAGAAATGATGGCCGAGAGGAGCGCACTCTGGATCAGACAAGGTCTATCTCACCATTTGCAAATCCTCCAAGAACCTCCTACACAGAGGAGAAAGTATTTTGAGAAAATGTGTGCAGTTGCTGTTCACTGTAGCTTGCATAGTTAGCACTGTAGTCCACGTTCATGTGCCCAGTTTAGGGTTGCCAGATTTAGCAAATAAAAATGCAAGATGCCCAGTTAAATTTTGATTTCATATAAATCATTCTTATCTGAAATTCACATTTATGCTGACAGAGACCAGGTTTGTTTTCTACATCACTCCATTCTCATCACCTAGGCTAATAACTGGCTTATTTTAATTCAATAATAAATATTGACTTTATGAATTAATGACTTTTTGCATCAACAGTCATCACTGCAGACAAGGACCCTCTAGTGTTTTCTTGCTAATGACTGAACATCCGTGGTTCTCAAGTCCTCCTGCTTCTCTTCAGGTTCTTTATTCTTTATCTTTAGGTCCAGCTGGCTCCCTGATCCCAGATCGCAATCCTTCCCTGAGGCCGGCTACTCAGGAGAGTCAGCTGTAACCCAGGCCTCACTTCCTCAGCTCCCACTCTCTCCTCAAACAGTCAATCCAGCTTCCACTCTGGACACTCCACTGACTGGAAAAGTCAAGTCCACCACACTCAGCACTTGCCTCTTTGTCTTGTTCTCACTTCGTCCACCTGTTGGTGGCACTCACCACAACGGGCTACTCCCTCTGCCTTGAAAAAGTCTATTTTCCTTAATTTCCATGCATCATATTCCTTTGGTTTTTCTCCAACATCAGTGGGACTCCTTCTCAGTCCTCTTTGCTGGCTCTTGGCCCCTGGGCTTGGCCCTTGGCTCTCTTCTTGTTTTCTACACATAAACTCTCTCACTATGAAACCTTTTCTACTTTCCTGGAATTTAACACAGTACATGTGCTGATGATGGCAACATATATAATTCCACCTCTGGCCTCACCCTGAACTGAAGTCTCTTATATTCAAAAACCTCTTGACAGCTCTACATAAATGTCAAAAAATCACTTCAAACTGAACTTCAACAAAACCTTTATTTCTAATCCCTCCAATCATTTCCTACCACAGTCTTTCCTATCTTGATAAGCAACACCATCCACCTATTGGTTAAGATAAAGTCCTCAAGAATAAGCTTGATTCTCTATCCCCGTCTATGTTTAATGTATTGACAAGTCATAAAAAAGATCTATCCCAATTCTGTTCACTTTATCTTTGTCCCTGTCTTTATCACTACTGCACTAAATGAAGCCACAGTCTTGTCTTCCCTGAAGAATTCTGCTGTGCACACATGGTCTCCCTGACTCTACTTGTGAACCCCAACAATCCAATCTCTTCTAGTAGCTAGAATTTTTTTAATTGAATGTAAATTGACTGTCCTTGTAACCCTCAGGTAGATTCCCATATCTGCCTAAATAACATTCAGATTTCTTACCATGGCCATCAGGTCCTAACAGGATTAGGCTCCTGACTTCCTCTCCAGCCTGCCTCGTCAATGCCACTCCACCCCCTTGCTCGCTATGCTTCAGCCACTCTAGGCTTCTTTCTGTCCCTTAAACAAGGCACACATCTTCCCACATTTTGGCTTTTCCCTGTTCCCTCTCCCTGGAACACTTGTCCCTTAGATCTTCACATGGCTGTCTTCTGGTCATCGTTCATGTCTCAGATAAATGTCACTTTCTCAGGGAGAGCTCCTCAGACACTTGAACTGAAGAGTTGGGTGAATCCAATTCACTATGTCCTATTACTTTGACATCTATTTTTCAGAGCACTTATTGCGCTGTGGAATTTTCTTTGTTAAATTTTTATTGGGCGATTGTCTATCTCTTCTGTTATTAGGTAAGTTTCATGACAGTAGAGACTTTTTCTATCTTATCTGAATAGAATTCTCTGAGCCCAGAACATATCCCAGCACATAATAGTTGCTCAAAATAATACCTGTTGTCTAAATGAAAAACTAGGATTCTGGGAATGGATCACTGTGGGGATCCTGGACAGTACGAAGGAGCTCAAGCTCCAACACTCTTTTCTTCTGATGACACAGTATATTCCTTCTATTCACTGTGAGAAATGCAGGCAAACTTCCTATTTCTCTTCCTTCTAGTTAGAAAAACTATTTGGATATAAAGAAAAGGTGATTTTAAGAAAGGAGGAAATTTTCATTAAATTTTATTTCTTTCAAAGGATCTCTTAAAGTACTGAGGATCCTTCAAACTTTGGGTATTTTCTGTGATGCTGATGACACAGCTGGGGAAAGAATAGGGAGGAACTGGAGGTAGAGGTGACCAGACACAGTTAATTAAGGAAAACAAAGGGCACGATGAATGAACCTATGAAACTTGGGACAAGATCCCAGTAGGCCAATGAATTTCCTTGACTTGCTTATTGGCTTTCAGCTCAATGGGATGTTAACAACCTTCACACTCTCTCTGTACCCCTGCTCAGGGTGGATAGTTTAAACCATATGAAATTGCTAATATTTGACTATTTTTGACTTACAAAAGTAGAATTTCATATAATTTATCCTACGCTAGTTGAATCCCTTCTCCTGGGCTCTAATCAGAGAATGTAGGTGATGTAGGGGAAACCGAGAGTATAGAAAGGTTCAAAATAGATTCATGATAAACACGAGTCTGTGCCAGGTTTTCAGAAGATGTCTGTAGTTCTTTAAGGCACCAAAGAATACCCCATAGACGTTCCTTATCTATAGGATCATTCTAAGAACTAAGGGGCTCTTCTTCAGCTTCAGGGTGCTTTCCACAGGAGAAGAAGAGACCGTACTAACCCCAACTTCCATCAAAGAACCTTCAGTAGAGAGATACAGGCTTTATACACACTTTAGTTTGGGGAGAAAAGAAAGAAGATAATGTGGGAGTCTCCTGATACATTCTCACACATTAGGGAGAGGCACCAAAGTCACAGATCCTGTTTGAGGACATAACACAAGATCTTCTAGCAGAGACTCTTCCAATTCCATTAGACTCCCTATAAAATTTTCAGAAAAACTTAATTTTTCTGGCAAAGCTCAACATAATAAAAGGAAGTGCTGGGTGGGGAAATATTCTAACCGTGTGATATCTAAATCCTCTCAAGACCCTGAGGAAATGTGATGCAAGGCTGGAGAGGTTTTATTTTTTTTCTGGCAAAGCTCAACGTAATAAAAGGAAGTACTGCGTGGGGAAAATTTTAACCTTGTGATATCTAAATCCTCTCCAGACCCTGAGGAAATGTGATGCAACGCTGGAGAGGTTTTATTAGAGGGGAGCTGAGAATGAATAAACTATATGGAGGCCCCTTACACAGGTCTCCTAGAGAGGGCAAGAATCCAGGCTCCTTTTGGAAATAATTGGGATTCATAGGATCAATATAGGTGGTCACTGAAGAAAATATCACAATTTTTTAAGGGACATGGCCTGGACACAGTGACAAAGTTGACATCCTTCCTCCCCCCATCCCATGACAGCTCACCACCCGAGGTGTCCACTTACGTTGGGTGTCCCTGGCCAAAGCCAGAGGAGGGCTCAGCACCATCAGTATCACTGTCAAAGCTGCCATCCAGGAGCCTCCAGGGAACCACAGACACACCACGCTGAAGAACAGGAGAGGACCGGGTGCTAGAGGAACAGGCAAGTCTCACTCAGTGAGAACGATGACCTCCTTCACCCACATCCCAAGTAGTAGGAACCAAGGTATTCATTTCTTTGGCCCTGGTTTGGGTAATCTCAGTGCTGAAAAACCAATCAGCATCAGAGATAAATAACATCATCAGTTGCTGGCTAGAGATTCAGTATGAAGGTCCTCTTTTGAAACAGAATTTCCTTCATTAGAAGGATTGTTTAAATTTAGTACTTAAACATTTTGATGCAGTCACATCTGAAATACTTTAATTGGGCCCTTACGTGAGCCGGCTCTGTGCTGGTCAGTGACGCATTCACAGGTGCGAGCCCTGTAGGAGCACATATCTCTCTTGAAGACAGCTGTTTGAACAAGTGTGTGTGAGAGTGTGTTTAGGAATCAAGAGGATAGAGGAAAGTTGAATGCAAGTCAGGAAACCTTTAATCTGGTCCTTACTGCATCATTACTTAGTGTTGTACATTTAGAAAAATACTTAACCTCTCACAGTTGAAATGAAGATATTGTGATCCCTCATGCATTTCAACACTGGAAAATGCTGTGATTCTGGACACCTCAAGGAGCAGCCTCCCCTGGCAACTGATGATATGACAGAATTATAGCTGCTGACTGGAGGGTATAATCTGTAGCTCTTTACAGGCAGGAATGTCTCTGATAAACTAAAAGAAATGGAAAGTTGGTCAATATTTACCCTGAGTGAAAAGGTTTTTCAAGTTTGTCTCCGGTGCTGTCACTGAGTATAGTGACACCTCCAGAATACACATAGGCAAGGGCTTAGAGGAGGACATTTATGTGGAATGGAAGGTCTTGAAGCTACTTTTGTATAGCATTTAACCTAACAATGTGATGTCAACTGTCCAAATCAAAGTATGCAGGGAGGTGAGAGATAAACAGAGAACTCCAGCTCAGCCTTTGACACAACGTCTCTGCTTTGAAATAATTTACATTTTATGTGAAAATCTGTTTAATCCCTTGATCCTGATTCCCAATATGACTTCCTCATTTTATTGAGGATATGTCCCTTTATTTTTCCGCTTCTCATGCCTTATCCTAAGAAAAGATATAAGAAGACTTTGTTAATGCAAACATTATAGAATGTTCATGAAATAGGACACTATGGAAAAACTAGAATTACATCATTTAATGTGATCATATAATTGTAAGCATATAATTGCACTTTTAGATAATTATTACACATTATATTAATATAAATGTAATGTCTCAGATTCAGAATGGACTTCTAAAAGACAACGATACATGTAAATGTCTGCACTAATTCACACTCTGTCACTCTACCACAGT